TGTGACGTCATGTGAAATCTATGTATTCACTTCCGAAATTTCTTTCCAGGGTATTCTTATCGTTCAGAATCTGTAACAGTTCGAACGTAATCGAGTAAGCGATTTTATTTTTGTCGTGTTTGTTAACCGTTTACACCCAATACTTCATGACTTGCATAACGCTAAAACTAGGCAAACCGTTTGTCGTTTCTCCTATGATGTTGAGCGTGTTGGCCTGTCAGGTGGTGGCCTGCCAATCTCGTAAATTGATTGGAGACTGTTGTTACAAAGCTCGCGCGCTACCCTTCGAAAACGACGCAAATTCCGAATTTCTTCTGACGTTTCCCGTCGTTCGCGCAGGCGACGAGATCGGCTGGAACGACGGCGGCGGTGCGCGGGACTCTGCGGACGCGCGCGCGACGGACGTCGTCGCGTCGGACTACGGAGAAGGCTACCGGTCGTCGGAGGAGAAGCCCGACGTTGTCGCCGGCGAGGAAGCGCAGCTCTCGACGACGCAGCAGCCGTCGTCGTCGCCGCATCTCGACGCGGCTAGCGCGGCCGGATGGGACGCGCGCGTGACTAACACGGTCGAGTCGGACTACGGAGAAGGCTACCGGTCGGAGGAGGAGAAGCCCGACGTCCGTCTGCTAGTAGAGGAAGTTATGAGTCTGGGCGGCGGCGCCGACGCATCTGGCGCGGCCGGATGGGACGTGCACGCCACCTCCGAGGATCTCTTCACTATTGACACAGGTAGGCGAGAGCTCTACGCTCTACAGGGCTGACAGGCGAAATTCCGTGTGTGCGTGTGGTAGAGAGAGGGGTTCGGTGAGTGAATACCTGAGGGTGAGTTTGTGGGGGTATAATCGCCACCATGTTTTTTTTGAGAGAGAGAAGTGCGGTTGCACTATGATGAAGTCTGACTAGATGCTTCTTTTTCAAAGAAAAGATTTCTTGAAAACCCTCTTCAAAAACAACTAATTTGCGGTACACTGAAACCACCGGCTCGGAGGGCCGGTGTTTTGCCAATTATGTTACCGGCCCTCCAAATAATTTTCCGGCACATGACGGTGGGCCGGTGGTAATTTCGCGCCCTGTGTACGTGACGCCGCATCTTCTCTCCACAGCGTGCCGGCAGGTCGTCTCCGATCTCGTCTCCATGGTGACCGCCGACGAGGATGCCGGTTGCCGCGGCAACGACATCGCGAAGTTCAGGTCGACGCGCGTCATCGTGCAGGACATGGCTGGCGTTCTCTACAGAAAGTCGAAGGACGTGACGTCGTGGAAGGTAGGTGGCGCCGGAATCGCTTGCGCGCTCGCGCCGGTAGTCCGCGGAGGAGGCCGGGGAAATTTCGCGAGGGCGCCTGTAACACATTGCAATTAACCGGCACTAACTCCGCGCTGGAATTAGAATCATCTAACTTTCATTCCCCGACAGTAAACTTCAGTCAGCACGCTTGTTTA